ATATAGACCTCCAAGTTCACCAGGACATCTGTTGTGCTGCGGCATTTACGAAAACCAAATTGAGAAGGGGAGGAGGAGGATATAGGGTTCCAAGAACCACATCAGACAAATGTTAACCATACGTTCAAAGAGTTTACATACAACTCGTGAGGACAATAAGGCGGAAGCCCTTAGGGGATGTCCCGAGAGACCCTGGTTTCCGAACAGGGAGGACAACGGCATCGAGCTAGTCCTCAGCGACTGACGACGACTCCCAGACTCGATTATACAGACTCAGTAATACCGAGACATGCACGGAAGGAGATGGCGAAGCATCTCATAATGAATATTATTGGAGCACGCCGCAGTAGAACCGCAGAGGCAGGGCAGACTTCAGGGCAGACTGAAGTTCAGGGAGAGAGAAAGGATTGTTATAGGGAAGTCTGAGATGGGTGCAGAAATCTAAAGGATGAGATTCAAGACAAGGATTACGAAGAAGAAAAGATTGAGGAATATGAGAACCAGAGCTAACAGTAGAAAAGTGGGAACCCAGTTCAGTTGCGGCCTGCAACAGGTCCGCTACAAGGGTACCATGGAGGTGGACTGGCGAGACATCGGGAACGAACTTACCCTCCATCTTGCGGAAACGCTACCAGATCTGCAGCAGAGGAGTTTCAGACCTAATGGTGTTAACACAAGACTTCCAACACTCATGTTTAGCTGTACAGATGGTATTATGGGCCACCGCACTCACCTTCCGAAACAAAAGAAAAGAATTAGCCGTCTGCCGGAGGCGGTGTCTCTTCCAGGCTGCATGCTTACAGCGGACAGCCCGAGTACAGTCCACATTCCACCAGGGGACGCACTTCCGCATGCCCGGAGAGGTAGAGCGAGGAATAGAACTGAGGGCAGCGTCGAAGACAGTGTCGTGAAGAAGGAGGAGGGCACGAAGGAGAGGTAGAATGGAGAGGTCGGAGAGAGTAGCATTGAGGGGAAAATAGGCACCAGTCAGCCTCAGCAAACTGCCACTTAGGGAAGGAGAGGGGAGGGTGGAAAGAGAAAAAGGTAACAAGGATGGGGAAATGGTCACTGCCATGGCGGTCATCAAGAACCCGCCACACGAAATCCAAGTACAGAGACGACGAGCAAAGAGAAAGATCAAGATGGGAAAGGGTGTGAGTCCGAGTGTCCAAATGAATTGGTTCACCAGAATTCAGAAGAGACAGGGAAGAAGAGAGGATGAACGGTTCAAGAAGGCGACCCCGGGTGTTTGTCAGAACAGATACCCCAGAGGGTATGTCGACAACTGAAATCACCCAGCAGGAGCACAGGCTCAGGCAAGGAGTCCCATAGGTGTTTAAGATCGGGAAGAGAAAGCATGACATTTGGGGGAAGATAAATAGAACAAACTGTATAAAGCTGAGGGGGGGGGAGAGAAAGGAATAGCCACGGAAGTGACCAGGACGAGCACCAAACATTGGCTCCTGGAGAAGGGGCAAAAACCGTGAAATCAGAAGTTGGAGTTCATGGAAATTGGCATAATATCCACGAATATTCCGTTGCAGAATAGACACCGACAAAAAGAGAACAGCAACAAAGAACAAGGAAGAAACAAAGGTTAAAAGGAACAAAGTATGTTAAAGAAGCTCAAGATCAGGGTCAGCAAAGTCAAGGTTAGGGGGCATGGGTAAACTGAGTAGGGATGGAAGGAAGGGAGCGGGAGGACAGACCAGAGGCGGACGAGCAGGGTCCAGAGGAAGAGGAGACAACCAAGAGGGGCGTTCAAGAACAGGAGGAGGAGGAGGAAGAGGGGCAGAAATCGGGAGTGCACCTCAGCAAGGGCAGCAACCGAGAGGGAAGTGGGTGCCAAAGAAACCTCCATAGCAGGAACAGGGGCCTCGACCTCCGAAACAGGAGAGGAAGGAACGATAGAGTCAGAGGGAGGGGGCGAGGAAGAAAGCGAAGCCTTCTTACCCGCTGGGGAGGAGGATGACGATCCAGGCTTTCGCTTCTGACTCAAAGAGACAGGTGTTCCACCAACAAGGTACAGGGCAACAGACTCTAGCATCTCAACAGGAGAAGAACGAGAGCGAAGAAAATGATGATCACTGGGAGAGGGATGGACAACAGCCCGTATAGACAGGAGGCATGGAGAGCTAAGAGACGGGTGAGAAAGATGGGGAGGAAGATCGGAGGGAGATGAGAAAAAAGACACAGAAGACATGGCAGACAAGGTAGGAAGAAGGGAAACTCCGAACAGAGAACAAGGTTTGGGACCCTTCGGGACAGAACATAAAGAAACGGGAGGAGGCGATGGGCGTGTCCGGGTCTAAGGCCTGGAAACGGCTGTGAGACTGAGAAAGGTGGGAAGGATGAGAGGAGAGGATGAGCGCAACACGCAAGCATAAGAAACGCCAGTGAAAGGGGGGGGGGGGAGACGGCGAACTTGGTGCCTTGCCTCAGGAAAAGACAAACATTCCCGGTGCTTCAAGTTAAGGAGGGCTGCTTCAAGTTTGCACGGGAGAAGGTAGGGTGGGCCTCACCGCAATTGAGGCCGCAAGCCTGGGGAGAAGTGCACTCCGACTTGGAGTGACCTTCGTCCCCACACATGGGGCAGAAAGACACAGTACTGGAGCATCTGAGGGCACCATGTCCGAACTTCCAGCACTTATTACAAAGCTGAGAAGAGGAAATGTACTCCTGAAGGGAGCATCTGGCACCAACAAGAATAACAGAGGGCGGAAGTGTCCGACCATAATCTTCACAACTCGAAGGGGCAGACGGCGACGGCCACGAGGGGGTCGAATGAATGTCTAGATCTGGAGAACAGAATGGCCTTGGGTCTCGAAGATATGTTTAATATCCTCGTGGCAGTTCTTGAGGTTCCTAATATTAGTTGCAATATGGTGTGGAAGGAGAACAGTGCAAACACTGGCATTTAACCAAGCATTCTTGGAGACCCGAACAGGGGTCTCCCCAATGCAGGACAAAGCGGCCAGGCGGGTAGCTGCATTCTGTGGAGGAGCAGCAGCAGCGACACACTTACAGAGACGGGTGGGGTTGAAAGTAACAGAGGCATCTAATGAGTCAACAAGGTGCCTATGAAGGGAGAAATCGTCAGGAGGAGTAGAATCTAAATGATGGAGGTCAAAGTACTTAGTCCACGTAGCAGGATCAAACAAGGCATGGTACGAATTAGTATGGGAAGGGAACGTGCGAGAGCAGCCGTGTTGGGGACGGCAGTGAGAACCCCGAGAGAGCGAGCGAGCGAGCGAGCGAGAGAGAGAGAGAGAGAGAGAGAGAGAGAGAGAGAGAGAGAGAGAGAGAGAGAGAGAGAGAGAGAGAGAGAGAGAGAGAGAGAGAGAGAAGAGAGAGAGAGAGAGAGAGAGAGAGAGAGAGAGAGAGAGAGAGAGAGAGAGAGAGAGAGAGAGAGAGAGAGAGAGAGAGAGAGAGAGAGAGAGAGAGAGAGAGAGAGAGAGAGAGAGAGAGAGAGAGAGAGAGAGAGAGAGAGAGAGAGAGAGAGAGAGAGAGAGAGAGAGAGAGAGAGAGAGAGAGAGAGAGAGAGAGAGAGAGAGAGAGAGAGAGAGAGAGAGAGAGAGAGAGAGAGAGAGAGAGAGAGAGAGAGAGAGAGAGAAGAGAGAGAGAGAGAGAGAGAGAGAGAGAGAGAAGAGAGAGAGAGAGAGAGAGAGAGAGAGAGAGAGAGAGAGAGAGAGAGAGAGAGAGAGAGAGAGAGAGAGAGAGAGAGAGAGAGAGAGAGAGAGAGAGAGAGAGAGAGAGAGAGAGAGAGAGAGAGAGAGAGAGAGAGAGAGAGGAGAGAGAGAGAGAGAGAAGAGAGAGAGAGAGAGAGAGAGAGAGAGAGAGAGAGAGAGAGAGAGAGAGAGAGAGAGAAAGAGAGAGAGAGAGAGAGAGAGAGAGAGAGAGAGAGAGAGAAGAGAGAAGAGAGAGAGAGAGAGAGAGAAAGAAGAGAGAGAGAAGAGAGAGAGAGAGAGAGAGAAAGAGAGAGAGAGAGAGAGAGAGAGAGAGAGAGAGAGAGAGAGAGAGAGAGAGAGAGAGAGAGAGAGAGAGAGAGAGAGAGAGAGAGAGAGAGAGAGAGAGAGAGAGAGAGAGAGAGAGAGAGAGAGAGAGAGAGAGAGAGAGAGAGAGAGAGAGAGAGAGAGAGAGAGAGAGAAGAGAGAGAGAGAGAGAGAGAGAGAGAGAGAGAAGAGAGAGAGAGAGAGAGAGAGAGAGAGAGAGAGAGAGAGAGAGAGAGAGAGAGAGAGAGAGAGAGAGAGAGAGAGACAGAGAGAGAGAGAGAGAGGAGAAAGAGAAAGAGACTCAGGGGCCTGGTCGTCCGACTCAGGGGCCTGGTCGTCCGACTCAGGGGCCTGGTCGCCCACCCCATGAGCCTGGGTAAGAGAGGTCGTGTCGTCATTCATGCAGCAGTCGTTCTAAAAGTCTGGGGCCTGGAACCAAGGGATACCACCTACCAGGGCAGCCAAGGAGGGCGAGCGTGGGCCAGTGTAGGAAGGGTGCGTCGTCCCCAGCGGTGCTCCCCAGTTTTAACAGGGGAGTCCTACTGCATCGTCCATTCTCCCACACCGGTGCAAAGACCCCATTCCCCCTATCGCCCCAGGCTGTACACCGAACCATCCACTCAGGGCGACCCTTCCAGCGGGCGGTTCAATGGCCCACAAGGCTCCTACGTGGTGCCTATCTGCACGTACAACACCCAAAGAGGGACAGGAGAGGGGGCGAAGACTACCCACACCGGTCCCAGGGAGGTGTACGTGAGCCTCTCACCACGGCAAGGCGACACCACGGAGGGGAACTCGCTCATCAAGATTCTAACTTGCTTAGTTAAGTGAATTGTGGGGTTCAGTCCCTGAACCCATTATGTGCCTCTAACACTTTCCACTACCACCCACAGGATGGGTATGGGGTGCATGATAAATAAGCTAAACTAACTGGCTGTGACCAGAACTGTAGCAATGCTGCACAAAGTTTACAAGGTGTGGTGGATGGAGGTGACCAGAGTGTCTGACCTGTGTGTCTGAGATGCGTCGTGTCCTCAGCTGCCTGGCAGGCTGTCGCGCCCCCGTCACCGTCACCTCCGTCTGGAGGGCCCCGTCACCCTCGCACACTGCCCCTGACGTCACCTCCGTCTGGAGTGCTCCGCCTGCCCGCGATGTCATTCCCGTCTTCTCATTCTCGTCCATAACTGCCTTCCATTTTCTATTGGATTTCTTTTGATCTCTTTCTTTTTCGTGTTTTTCTTCGGCTATCACTTCCCATCTGCCTTTTCGATTCTTCTTCTTGCTGCCTTCCTCATCCACTACTTCCCTCCAGCAGTCTATTGGTTCTTTTTCATTTTCTTCTGCCTTCATGCTGCCTTTTACCTGTTTATTTTCCACTTCTTTGTCTTGTGTAGCTGCCTCCCATCTGCCTCTACGTTTCTTCTCTTCCTTTCCTTCTTCATCTACCACTGCGTTCCACCTTCCTCTTTGCTTCTTTTCTTCTATTACTTCTTCATCTATTACAGCTTTCCATCTTCCTAATGGTTTCTTCTCTTCTACTTCATCTTCTTCATCTACTATTGCTTTCCATCTTTCTATTGGTTTCTTCTCTTCTTCTTCTTCCTCTTCATCTACTATTGCTTTCCATCTTCCTATTGGTTTCTTTTCTACTTTCTCTTCTTCATTTACTACAGCTTTCCATCTTCCCTTTGGTTTCTTCTCTTCTTCTTCTTCTTCTTCTTCCTTTTCGTCTACTATTGCTTTCCATCTTCCCTTTGGTTTCTTCTCTTCTACTTCCTCTTCTTCATCTACTATTGCTTTCCACCTTCCTATTGGTTTCTTCTCTTCTACTTCCTCCTCTTTATCTACTGTTGCTTTCCATCTTCCCTTTGGTTTCTTCTCTTCTACTTCCTCTTCGTCATCTACTATTGCTTTCCACCTTCCCCTTGGTTTCTTCTCTTCTACTCCTTCCTCATCTACTACTGCCTTCCAGTTGCCTCTTGACTTCTGTTCCTCAATTCCTCCTCCTCCATCTGCAACGGTTTTCCATTTTCCTTTGAGTTTCTTCTCTGTCTCCTCCTCCTGTTCCTCTTCTACGGCCTTCCATCTGTCTTTTTGCCTCTTCCGGTCCTCTGATTCCTCTTCCTCCCACTCGAAGCTGGAGGAGAGCATGTGTTGAGCAGAGCGGGAAGTGGAGGTGGTAGCTGTCTTCCAGGTCCCCGCCAGGGAGGCACACTCCTCCTCCTCCTCCTCTTCTGCTCGCGGAGATGCCTGCGGGAGATAAGCAATTGTATTCTTCCAGAATATTGAAGATATAGAGACAAGTGCATAAATATATATGTACAGAAGCAGCCATGTATTATAATTGTAGAAGCATGTAATAGCGATTTCCCTCAGAGGTTTGTTCTTGGAGCCATTCAATTCCTGATTTATATTAAGATTTCCAGGGAGGAATTACTTTACATCTTTACAGTGTTGGCAGATGTCACGCAAATAAAGGTCAACATATTGGACGACAACAGATTACGAGAAGATCTGCGCGAGCTACCTGTTGGAAACTTCTAACACCCAAATGCCAAACCCAAGTGCTATATTATAAATTTGTTGGACTAAGAAATCTAATCCACTAATACTACTAACTAGTAGTGTAGGCAGTATTAATTCTTATTATTATGCGATACAGTAATGCCAAATGTTTTCTAGTAACCATAGCTCCTGTTGCATCAGCCGATCAACTCGTGAGAATAAATTTTACATATTTATTAATCGAATTAGTTACCAGTCTCCGTGGTGTAGTGGTAAGACACTCACCTGGCGTTCCGCGAGCGCTTTGTCATGGGTTCGTATCCTGGCCGGGGAGGATTTACTGGGCGCAAATCCTTAACTGTAGCCTCTGTTTAACCCAACAGTAAAATGAGTACTTGGTTGTAACAACGATTCTTCGCGGCGGGGATCGTATTCCAGGGACCTGCTCGAAACGCTACGCGTATTAGTGGCTGTACAAGAATGTAACAACTCTTGTATATATCTCAAAAAAAAAAATCCAGTCTAACCTTGCATTATTTGTTAAGGAATATCGATTGGTAACAGATATATTTTTATTTAGCGTATTATGGAGCCGTTTATTGGAAATATTTTATACAGTTGCGATCAGCTGTTCCAGTAAAAGTCATGAACTAAATTTCCATCACGAATATTTAATTTCCATCTAACGTCATTTAGGCTAAATTATTAGCACAGCGAGAAACAATCTGCTGTTACCTAATGTACGTTAGTGTGACGTACAATGACGTCAGTAATATTTCCATCCATTCGGAAATCTGAATAAAGTATTGTAAAATATTCCCCAAGTTTTCAACATTTGGCGCTAAGTGGCGCGCGCGTCACTAGTCGCTGGAGAAGACTTGGCAGAGCTAGCCGCCATTATAGTTTGGTGTCTCGGAGCTGGTCCTTATCATCGATCACATTGAGGAGCATCCGTGCAATAACGAGCTTCAGATCGATTCGATGGCTTCCATAGATTACGGACATCGCGTTTGGCAATGCAGAGTACCGCTGATTTGTTAATTTGGCCATTTTTATATAATCATGGTGGTGTCTTGTCATTATGCAGCTGACGAACCTAATAACTCCCGTCAGTGGCATTCTTATTCCTAATCCGCTTAGCATTCATGAGTGAATACATAAATGTGTGCCTTTAAGTTGAAACTACAGGCGATTCATATTTCAGCATGGAGCTAGCTGCAAGACAGACGTAATTCAACCGGTGGAGACACATGTCACCAGAGATTATCGATTCAAACTGAATTAGGCTGGTTATAAAGGTGCTGGACGCAATCTTCGGTCAACATTTTCAGCTAAGCCTTTAATTGTTTCCATTCAGTATTTAGTTTATTAATCTATGGATTAATAAATTATGATGATCCATGAATATTATTCTCTATTATATGTAGACTAACATTATAGAATTTAAACCCCCAAAAGATGTATAAGGGATTTGCTTTACTTTAAATAGAAGTTCTACAGTTCGCTTCTATAAATTCATTTTTGAATTAATCATTGAATATATATTTGAGATCCATAGATCACTGGTTCTCCGAGCCCATAACACTTTTACGGTCCTCATAAATTTGATTATTATTATTTGGTAGAGTAAATTCCCCCACACTACCCGGTCTAACAGGTAGCTTCTAGAGCTTAAAGCAACCAAGTACAAAATAATTACGAGTGCTGGGAACCGGAAACTGGACACGATCATCAACTGAGATGGGAAATACTCCTGAAGTCGGACAGAGAAAGATATTGGGGTAGAAGTAGAAATCACAGGATCTACCACCTGAGGCACACAAACCGAATGATATCAGCTGTATGCAAGTTTTGTCAACACAAGAACTACCTTTAAAGAATGAACAAGGAGTCATTCGGAAACCTTTATACTACATATGTTAGACCAATTCTTCAACATGCAAGGACAGAATGAATCTCCTAACTTCTTCAAACTCAAAACAAACCTTGTGAAATTCCCGAGATATATCACAAGACTAAAGGGTAAAGTACTTGTGGAATTAACAAGGTTAACGAAGAAACTATTTGACATGGGAAGAACAAGAAGGAAAAGACTCACATGGAAGCTGACACCCAAATGAGCCACAGTAACTTTTAAAAGAACTTCTTCAGTGTGAGGAGAGTGAAGGAAGCACAGGCAGACTTCTTATATGCATTAAAAGACAGCCTTGACAGAACCGATAGTGTACGCAAACCTGTGTAAGAGTCATCTGAATGTTGAGAGGATGAACGCAATGGCTGAAGCTAAATCCCCAAACCACAAGCGAAAACAATTACGTTAATTGTAGAAATATCCCGAAGGCAAGTATCCATGGGCTGGTGCAGGTACTTCAGTGTAGTAACTGTAAGTCTACACGAGTTAGGTAAGGTACATCATTACAAGTGACGTCTCTAGTATTGCTGTCCGAGCAACCTCATGTTTGTTTGATTGTGACTGTCTTGCTCAGAGGATATTGAAAACTTTTAAATTAAAAACAGAACTAGACAGCCCATCCTCCAGACAAAGACCCAAAAGTGATGCCATGCACCCACCAAACCCTGTTTATGAATGAAAAACGGTTTACACACGAATCAACTCATTCGAACACTTCTGGAACAAGTGCTTCATTGACGAATTTTGTTCGAACCACAACGCTATAAATGCAGCCCGTCCTCCAAACAAAGATCCAAAAGTGATTCCATGCACCCGCCAAACCCCCTGTTTATGAATGAAAAGCGGTTTACACACGACTCACAACTGCTGACGTTCGAACATATCCGGAACAAGTGCTTCACTGACGAATTTTGTTCGAATCACAACGCTATAAATCCTTCACCCACGTACTACAAATACAAATAATCGCCAACAGAACCTAAACACCTAACCTATGCCTATATATGCACAATATTTTATTATAATATTAATTTATATTCGAGAACATTCCCGTTTTGAATGAACAGCATATAAAAATTGATGAATGCGTCTGTGGGGTCGACCGCTGGATGTAATGGACTTGAGTCGAGAACGGGTTTAACTAGAGATGGTGAGAAGGCAAGTACAATTTTTCAAGGAGACTGAGAAACTGCAAACAACATCTACCTGAAAAGAAGGGTGAAGCAGACCGTCATAACTAAGATGGGCATTAAGATTATGATGAAGGAAGGTGATTTGAAAGTGGAAGCCACTCCAGCATGGGTGCTCACCTCTGCCTCAGGGGCACTGGAGGCAATACTGGGCGAGGGAGAGTGGGAGCGGGAAGACCCCGAGGTAACTGTGGACAACCCATCAGAGGACCGCCGTCTAGGGCCCTCCCATGTCCTCTCTTCCTCCTCCTCATCCTCCTCCTCCTCTTCTTCCTCATCTTCCTGTTCTTGTTGTGACCGCATGAGCAGCTCCCCTAAGGTGGTGGCTGCTGGCAAGAACACATCTGACTGCTTCTGGTGCCGCTGCTCCTCATCCAACTGCTGCTGTTGCTGACGACGACTGGAGTCTCGTCTTGAAGGAGTGCTATTGGTAGAGCTGTTATGAATCAGGCAAATTGAGTATACTATTTTTTGTAATTTATTTAATTATTGTCTGTGTGGAAATGAGTTGTGCCAATACAAAAGTTTGTACACCTTAAATTATTCAATTTCTGCAATGACCTTTAAAAAGGACATGTGTACCTGTGATCTCTATCATCAACGGGACGGCGGGAACGCTTCTCCTCCAACCCGGCTGACTCTCGACGCTTGGAGAGCGAGGTGGTTGAGGGTGACCTTCGAGAGCGAGAGGAAGGTGACCTAGCGATGTGGGGGGAAGGTGGGGAGGCATCCTGGTGGAGCAAGGCAATACTCTGGAACACCTCGTTGGCTTCAGCCACCAGCCGCTCGTTCCCAGTCTGACAAAGAATACAAAATGACTGTTCTAATTTGTATTATATAACGAATAAAATAACATAGTTGATGGCAATAGACTGATATCATTACCTCTAACGTACAGCTGTCATGAAATAACTGCTGGCTCGTACTGCACAGCACTTAAACACCACGGCAATTACACTAATGGTTATCAAATCAATGAATAAGCTGATATATAAGTAGTAAAGGCTCGTATCTGGTCTATTCTCACAGACGCAACACTAGAATACCTTTGACAAAATATAGACAAAACTGGCTCAAGAGAGGCGTTAAGGGGTTGAGGCTCACCGTAGGGTCCTCCTCCACCCCCCGCACACACAGGGGCTCCGAGGTCTCCGACTCTGGTGAGGTGGAATCTGAGGAGGAGTAAAGTACAGGGGAGTGAGTGCTGACGGAACGGCTGCCCGTGAAGATGGTGAGGTCAATATCTTACATGATTAGTGACCCTCTTGAACCACACCTCCCAGGCTCCCCCCACACCACCCCAGCCTCCCCACACACCACCCCCAGCCTCCCCCCACACCACCCCAGCCTCCCCACACACCACCCCAGCCCCCCCACACACCACCCCAGCCTCCCCCACACCACCCCAGCCTCCCCCACACCACCCCAGCCTCCCCCCCACACCACCCCAGCCTCCCCCCCACACCACCCCCAGCCTCCCCCACACACCACCCCAGCCTCCCCCCACACCACCCCAGCCTCCCCCCACACCACCCCAGCCTCCCCCCACACCACCCCCAGCCTCCCCCACACCACCCCAGCCTCCCCCACACACCACCCCAGCCTCCCCCACACACCACCCCAGCCTCCCCCCACACCACCCCAGCCTCCCCCCACACCACCCCAGCCTCCCCCCACACCACCCCAGCCTCCCCACACACCACCCCAGCCTCCCCCACACCACCCCAGCCTCCCCCACACACCCCCCAGCCTCCCCCCACACCACCCCAGCCTCCCCCACACACCACCCCAGCCTCCCCCACACACCACCCCAGCCTCCCCCACACCACCCCAGCCTCCCCCCACACCACCCCAGCCTCCCCCCACACCACCCCAGCCTCCCCCCACACCACCCCAGCCTCCCCCCACACACCACCCCAGCCTCCCCCACACCACCCCAGCCTCCCCCCACACTACCCCAGCCTCCCCCCACACCACCCCAGCCTCCCCCCACACCACCCCCAGCCTCCCCCACACACCACCCCAGCCTCCCCCACACACCACCCCAGCCTCCCCCCACACCACCCCAGCCTCCCCCCACACCACCCCAGCCTCCCCCACACCACCCCAGCCTCCCCCACACCACCCCCAGCCTCCCCCACACCACCCCCAGCCTCCCCCACACCACCCCCAGCCTCCCCCCACACCACCCCAGCCTCCCCCCACACCACCACCCCAGCCTCCCCCACACCACCCCAGCCTCCCCCCACACCACCCCAGCCTCCCCCCACACCACCCCAGCCTCCCCCCACACCACCCCAGCCTCCCCCACACACCACCCCAGCCTCCCCCCACACCACCCCAGCCTCCCCCACACCACCCCAGCCTCCCCCCACACCACCCCAGCCTCCCCCACACCACCCCAGCCTCCCCCCCCCCACACCACCCCAGCCTCCCCCCACACCACCCCAGCCTCCCCCACACCACCCCAGCCTCCCCACACACCACCCCAGCCTCCCCCCACACCACCCCAGCCTCCCCCACACCACCCCAGCCTCCCCCACACCACCCCAGCCTCCCCCCCCACACCACCCCAGCCTCCCCCCACACCACCCCAGCCTCCCCCCACACCACCCCATCCTCCCCACACACCACCCCAGCCTCCCCCCACACCACCCCAGCCTCCCCCCACACCACCCCAGCCTCCCCCCACACCACCCCAGCCTCCCCACACACCACCCCAGCCTCCCCCACACCACCCCAGCCTCCCCCCCACACCACCCCAGCCTCCCCCCACACCACCCCAGCCTCCCCACACACCACCCCAGCCTCCCCCCACACACCACCCCAGCCTCCCCCACACACCACCCCAGCCTCCCCACACACCACCCCAGCCTCCCCCCACACCACCCCAGCCTCCCCCCACACCACCCCAGCCTCCCCCACACACCACCCCAGCCTCCCCCACACCACCCCAGCCTCCCCCACACCACCCCAGCCTCCCCCACACCACCCCAGCCTCCCCACACACCACCCCAGCCTCCCCCACACCACCACAGCCTCCCCCACACCACCCCAGCCTCCCCCCCCACCCCAGACCCCCCACACCACCCCAGCCTCCCCACACACCACCCCAGCCTCCCCCACACCACCCCAGCCTCCCCCCACACCACCCCAGCCTCCCCCCACACCACCCCAGCCTCCCCACACACCACCCCAGCCTCCCCCACACCACCCCAGCCACCCCCCACACCACCCCAGCCACTCCCCACACCACCCCAGCCTCCCCCACACTCCCCCCACACCACCCCAGACTCCCCCCACACCACCCCAGCCTCGAGGAGGGCGCAAGGAAGAGGTAGAGGTAGAGAGGGGAGGTCAGAGAGAGTAGCACGGAGGGTAAATAGGTTCCAGTCAGCCTTGGCAAACTGCCACCTAGGGAAGGAGTGGGGGGGGAGGTGGAAAGAGAAAAAGGAGACGAGGATGGGAAAATGGTCACTGTTATGGAGGTGAAAAAGAACCCACCATGTGAAATCTAAGTAAAGGGACGACGAGCAGAGAGAAAGATCAAAACAGGAAAGAGTGCGAGTTCGAGAGTCCACGTGAGTGGGCTCATCAGAATTCAAGAGAGACAGGGAAGAAGAGAGGACGAATGGTTGGAGAAGACGGCCTCGGGTGTTAGTCAGAACATCACCCCAGAGGGTATGTCGACAGTTGAAATTACTCAACAGGAGCACCGGCTCTGGCAAGGAGTCCAGGAGGTGTTTAAAATCAGGAAGGGAAAGCGGGACATTTGGGGGAAGATAAATGGAACAGACTGTATACCATTTACTCTCAAAATCACGGGCAGCAAAACAATGGATAGGCGATGGAAAAAGTAGGGGGACAAGGGAATATCAGTACGAATCAGGAGAAACACTGAGGGGAGGGGGAGAGAAAGAAAGGAATAACAACGAAAGTAACCAGGACGAGCACCAAGCATTGGCTTCTGGAGACAAAGTGGTGAAAACTGTGTAATCAGAAGTTGGAGTTCATGGAAGTTGGCATAAAACCCACGAATATTCCATTGAAGAATAGACATTATCAAAAAGAGAAAGGACAGCAACAGAGAACAATGAAGAAACAAAAGTAAAGAAGAACACAGTATATTAAATAAGCTGAGGGTCAGGGTCAGGGGCCATGGGTAAACTTAGTAAAGATGAAGGGAAGGGAGCGGGAGGACAGACCAGAGGCAAACGGAAGGGGTCCGGAGGAGCAGGAGACAACCGAGAGCGGCTGTCAAGGACACAGCTGGAGGAGGACGGGGGGGGGGGGGGGCAGAAACCGGGGAGCACACCTCAGCAAGGGCAGCAACCGAGAGGGAATCGGGGGCGTAAGAAACCTCTATAGCTGGGACATGGGGCCCGACCACCGAAATGGGAGGGTACAGAGTGATAGTCAGATTTGGGGGCGAGGAAGAAAGCGGTGCCTTCTTACCCGCTGGGGAGGAGGAAGGAGAGGAGCCAGGCTTACGTTTCTGACTCAAAGAGACAGGTGTTCCAGCAACAACGTACTGGACGACAAACTCAATGGTCTCAACAGGAGAAGAAGAAGAAGAATAGGAGCGAACAACATTAAGATTGCAGGGAGGATGATGACCAACAGCCTGGACAGACAGGCAGCGTGGAGGGCCAAGAGACTGGGAAGAGGGTTGGGAAGAAGTATCGGGAGTTGATGTGTATGAAGACACAGGAGACATGGTGGACTGGGTAGGAAGGGAGGAAACTCCAGACGCAGAACCCGGAGGGAGACCTTTCGAAACAGAACGTAAAGGAACAGTGGAGGAGGTGGTGGGCGTGTCCGGGTCCAAGGCCTGGAAACGGTTGTGTGACCGAGTAAGGTGGGAAGGACGAGAAGAGGTAGAACGCAATACGCGAGTAGAAGATACGCCAGTGAAAGGATGGAGAGAGTGGAGTTGGCGTCTCGCTTCAGGAAAACTCAAACGACCCCGGTGTTTCAAGTTGAGGACCAATTCTTTAAGCTGGTAGTGTATACACATGCAGGAGAAGGTATGGTAAACCTCACTGCAATTGAGGCAGTGAGCCTGGGGAGAAAAGCACTCTGTCTTAGAGTGGCCATCATCCCCATCACATGGGGCACAGAGACAAGAATTGTGCAATTGAGAGCACCATGCCCGAACTTCCAGCACTTATTACAAAGTCTAGGAGAGGGGATGTACTTCTGAATGGAGCACCTGGCACCAGCAAGAATGATTGAGGGCAGAAGGGTCCTACTATCAAAGGTGATTTCCACAACTCTAAGGGGCTGATGGCGAGGACCACGAAGGAGTCGAGTGAACGTGTCCACCTTGAGGACAGGATGGCCTTCGGCTTCGAGGATATGTTTGATATCCTCGTGGCAGTCTTTTATGTCTCTAACACCAGTTGCAACATGGTGTGGGAGGAAAACAGTGCCAACACTGGCATTTAACAGAGCGTTTTTGGAGACCCAAATAGGGGTCTTCCCAATGCAGGACAATGCGTCTAAGCGGGTAGCTGCATCCTGAGAAGGAGCAGCGACGACATTTGTACCGAAAAGGGTGGGGTTAAAAGTAACGAAGGCATCTACCAAATCAACAAGGATCCAGATGGTGGAGATCAAAGTATTTAGCCCATTAAGCAGGACTAAACAAGGCATGGTACGTATTAGTATGGGAAGGGATAGTGCGAGTGCGGCCGTGGCAAGGACGGCATTGAGAACCCCAGAAAGGGGTTAAAAGGCGCAGTAGTCACAATGAGAGACTGAGCCGTGCCAGGGGACGAGGTGGTCACCACTGGAGGCTTGGGGCTCAACTTTACCACAGAGGAGGGAGGGGGAGCCGAGGGGAGTAGTCAGGAGGGTCAGAGAAAGAACTAGGTCTGGGCCCAACGTAACGGGGACTACAGAGCCTGGTCTTTCAACGCAGTCTGATTCGGGGGTTTGGTCGCCCACCCCACGAGCCTGAGAAGTCTTATGAGGAACAGTATTCAGCGACATGAAAACGAGAGGTAATACTTTCATTCACAAATGTACCCCAGACCACCATAGAGCCACAATTAGAGGATAGGATAGCCAACATGAGACAGGCTGGGGCACCCCCAGGGATGCCTCGTGACTATATGCCCCACAATCGCCACCTTAAGAACTGTCAGTCCGTCGAGATTGGGTTCAGTGACGAAAGTAGGATTGACAATAAAAGCGTCTCCTCGCTCGCGACACTGGGTATCACAGTTCTACAGGTGAGTGTATGCGCCTCCCCAAACACCCGGGCATCAAAACAGATGATGTCAAAAAGAATAATAAAGACTGGCAAAAGGTCAGTGGGAAATGACAATTAGAAAGGAGAAGTGGGGGGGGGGGAGAAAAATGAAACATAAGGAAAAGGAAAAGACATCCAGCAGAATTTGTGAAGACAGCAGCAGGAGCATAAGACTTCAAAAGGACAGAGGACTGTTCCATGGAGCATCACACTCCGTCAACCGTTCACCAAGCCCCCTCACGACGACAACAAGCCAGAATGGGAGGGGGTATCCGTGGAAGATTGACCGGGCACCAATCATTAACTGTAGCCTCTGTTCACCCAGCAGTGAATGGGTACCTGATTGATAAACGATTTGGCGAGTCGTGTACCGGGGAAAAATTAGGATTAAGGATCTGTGTGAAACTATGCGTGCTACTGGATGTACAAGAATGTAAGCAATGTTGGAACTTGTATATTGAAATGATGCTTGCATTGTGGGGCTGTGGGCACTCCCTGGAGAACAGCATCAAGTGTTTCTACATTGGTCATCAGAGATAGATTGCCCTTCCAGCATGTAGGCTGCCACAGGCTCGTGTTAGGTGATATGGGTCGAGACAGCATGACTACATCATCCATTCTTGGTTGAACGTTCGACATGACGACCTGCCAATCTCTGGCCATTGACTACGGCAGAAACTTGCAGTCAGTAGTATCCAAGATGGCCGACACCTTGGCGTTGGTTTCTATGATGAAAATGCTTAACTCGTCCTATCTATTAATGCTCTGGACACATGGCGGCCATTGTGTCATAGCTAGACTACTAGTGATGAGAACTTCACATACACACTCAACATCCTAGACCTAAGTCCACTCACATGGAATATTTGACACAGACTCTGGTGCGTGTACTCTGGCACTCCAGGGTGGAGCTCTGTACTAAGTGCAAATTCCACTTTAAGTCGAGAGCGGAAACCACTTTCACACCTCAGCTGAGGAGATTGAGCTATGAATAAAGCTGAAGGGACTGAACCTCACCACACTAGAGGAAAAGAGGAATGGGGCAGACATGATATTGACGTACAAGATTCTAAATTGAACTGACCAAGACGACAGAGAAGCAATGTTTAGAGAACAATAGTAGAGTGAGGGAACATAATTAAGAAACTGGAAACACAAATTAGTCAGAGATGTCAGAAGGAACTTCTTCAGTTTGTCATAAATAAATGGAACGAACTAGATAAGGAACCTGTCGAACCAGGCGAGTTCTCCTCTACATCTCACGGCCCCCTTTCTGTCACCCATACCTCCACCCCTTCACCCCTCACGACACCCCTTCTGTCACTCATGGCCCCCCCCGCCCCCCTCACGGAGCCATGCCCCTTTCTGTCACCCACCTCACCCCCCTCACCTCTAAAGCTCCACATTTTCATCATTTCGACGCGGAGTTCCTTGGCCATGCGGCTGAGTTCGGCGTTCATAGCGAGGAGATCTTGCGGGTCGCAGGAGTAGGTGGCGGAGGAGGGACCCCTGAAGCTTCTGCTGGAGACGAGGGCGCCTGCTGCAGCTCTGGCCGCCGCCTGCTGCCCTCCACTCCCCTCCCAGCTCCCACAACTCTGCAACATGTCAAACATTATTATTCATGCCTACAGTTTTAGCCTCCATATTGGTGCTGTTGGTTTTCTGTAGCTAAGATTCTTTGTTGCGTTGCTTCGTGAGTCCCGTTCGCTCCAGTCATGCGTCACTGTGAGATGGTGTTGGGTGAGGGATGAGATGAAGATGGTGTAGCATCACTGTAAAGGATGAGGTGAAGATGGTGTTGCTAGTCATTGTCAGGGATGAGGTGAAGATGATGATGTGTCATTGTGAGGAGTGAGGTGAAGATTGACCAGACAATAGAAACTCACATGAGAAGACTCGCCGGGCACAGCGATGGCCTCAATAGATGCCCAGGTCCTCGGGGAAGGGTCCTTGCCGCGCCGCTGGGGTGAGGCGGCCAGGTCGCCCGCCAGACGCAGGGACGACCGCCCTCTCAGGCTCCTCTGGCGGTACGAAGACGACGACCCTCCGCCGCCCCTCCGTTCCAGGCCGTGTTTGGCCACCAACGCCTGTTCCAGCCGCTTTGCCTGTCACCAGGGTACACTGTAACTTACACCTCTGTTATACCTCTGGTGTTACTGAGCTCACCTTAAACATTAACCCCATCACCTCATTATAAACATTAGCCTGAATCACATCATAAACACTTACATGATCACTCCATTATAAACATATAGAAGACGCTAGGGAACAGAATGATCGCCGGTGTTCTCCCAAAACCAGATTGACATTTAAAATGGATTCAGTGTTATATGCCTATAATACCCATTTCAGCTTTAGTAGTCAACATCGATGTATAAATTAAACCGAGACGAGTATAAGGGAGAATTCAGTCTGTCATTGTCAATTTGATTTAATATATCCCTGGAGTTGGGCGCTGCTCCATAATTTTAGTAATGGAAATACTGACTCAATATTTTTAAATGGAAATAGACCATTTATCTAGCTATCTAAATTGTTATCTGATTATTGCACAGTAAGTAATACATCAGTTGTCAGAAAATGATTTGAAGAGATAATCGCAACTAAGCAATTATCCAAAGAAGTCACCAAGCCGGGAAGGCTATGTAGCACCATCAAATGTGCGCAAAAATCATAGGGCGCTAAATATCACTAAGGCTGCCAATGTGAGAAGAAAAGTGCATAAGGCGTTTTTCGGATATCAAATGTATCCGATTCACCAAGAATTCTATCAAGGGACAAGTGACTGCGAGGGACGGTCAGGAAACAAGACACCAGCATCCTGGAAGTCAAGACATTCAGCAAGAATATGCACGACCGTAAGAGGGACAATGCAGTTTGGACAATAAGGAGCAGGGCGGCGCTCCATCGTCTGAGTTAGATGTGTATGGCCAATACGCAACCTTGCCAGAGCCGTTTCCCACCGCCGGTAACGGTGGTGAAGGAAAGCCACAGGGACACACTACTCTTAAGAGTACGCAGTTTGTTACCAGTAACAGAAGACCAATAACCCTGCCAACGGGCAAGGATGGAGGAATGAATAACTGGGTAAAAGTCGGAATAAGGAATACCTTTATGGGAAATGGGACAAGTGTGGATAGCTTCCTTAGTGGCAGCGTCCGCACGCTCATTTAATGACAAACCACAATGTCTGGGAACCCAGCAAAAACACTGTATTAAATCTACTGGAGATAAGAAACAGCCAATGTTGAATCTTGATTACCACTGAATGGACAGGATTAAAGGACTCCAGAGCCATAAGGGCACTGCAAGAGTCAACTACAACAACAAAGGAGGATTGACAGCGAGAAAGCAGTTGACGAAGAGTATAGAGAATAGCATAAAGTTCTGCCATGAAGATGCTAGTCTCCTGAGGCAGGTGACATATATAGGTGTGGTCAGGAAAAATAACAAGCAGCCAACACCATCTGCAGACTTAGACCCATCGGTGAAGACAAATGGAGCGGGAGTGTGAAGAAAAGTGTTCAAGGAAAGGCATTTTAGAACTGTAGGAGGGGTAAAAGCTTTAGTAACATGGGGTCAGGGTTTTACAAAATTTAGGAAGGGGGCACCCTCCACGGGGGCAAGGATGGAATAACGCGAGGAGAAATATTGGTAACACTAGCTGAAAGAGAATTTTATAGGTGAGACATCTGGACAGAAATAGGTAGTGAAGGGGAACAGGGAGGGGGTAAAAGTCAAAGCATGACAAGCGAAAGTGGAGGTGTTGTAAGGACCACGCAAGGTAGCGAAGACAGTAGCGATCATGGTGGTCCTGGAGAGACAGGACGTCGGTTTCAACATACAGGCTGAGGGTAGGAGTCGAACGAAAAACACCAGAGCTGAGACGTAACCCAGTATGGTGCACAGCATCAGGACAGCCAGGAGTAGAAGGAGAAACAGATGAGTAAGCAGGGCAACCATAATCGAGTTTAGACAGTACGAGAGAGGAATGTAAAGAGGAGCATTCGCCTATCCACTCTCCAAAATAGTATGGGGGCAAGACTTTAAGTAGGTTAAGGGCCTTAGAGCATTCAACTCAGAGGTAAGAGATATGGGCCACCTAAGACAAACGAGTGTCAATGATTAACCCCAAAAGCTTCACAAAATCTTTGTACACAAGGGGACATGAAAGCAACAAAGAGGGACGGAGAACGACCTGCTTCGTCTTAGTTGCAGAGAACTTTCAGCCATGATTGATGGCCCAAGACGGCACGGCATCAAACGCAAGTTGAAGTCGTCGTTGAAGGAAAGGCGAGTCATCACCCCGACAGCAAAGGGTAATGTCGTCGACATAGAGCGCTGAGATGATACCAGAGGAAAGGGAGGAAAGAAGACCATTGAGGGCAACAAGGAAAAATAGTAGTGCTCAGAACACTACCTTGGGGTACACACCTTCGCATTGCCGAAAAGAGGAAGAGAGAGCAGTACCAAGCCTCACTCTGAAGGGACATGAGAGGAAGCTTTGTAGGGAGAGAGGGAGATTACCACGAAGTTCAAAAGAATGGAGTTGGGACAGAATGTGTTATCTCCAGGTGGTGTCGAATGCCTTTTCCATGTTAAAAAGGACAGTGACAACGGAGGTCTTTGCAGCAAAAACAGTACGAATATAAACCACCAAGTTCATCAAGACTTCGGTTGTGCTGCGGCACTTACCAAAAGCCAGACTGAGAATGGGAGAGGTGTTGATAGTGTTCCATGGACCACATCGAACGGACATTGACCATATACTCAACGGGCTTGCAAATGCAACTCGTGAGGGCAGTGGAGTGGAAGTCCTTAGGGGATGTCCCTAGAAACCCTGGTTTCCGAATAGGAAGAACCACCACCTGGAGCCAGTCCAAGGGGGCCGATGATGACTCCCAGATATGGTTATATCGATTTAATAAATACCGAGACGTGCATGGAGGGAGATGGTGAAGCATCTCAATGTCATCCAAGCCTGCTGCTATAGAAATGAAGAGGGCCAGGGCGGACTGAAGTTCGGAGAGAGAGAATGAATTGTTATAGGGAAGCTGGAGATGAGTGCGAATGTCTAGGGGAGAAGATTCAAGAACGAACAATAAAAAAAAAGTACGACGGAGGTGAGGGACTATCAAAACATCTAGACCAAACTTACCTGCTATCTTGCGGATTTTCTTCCAGATCTGGGGCAAAGGAGAATTGGACGTAACTGAGGAGACATAAGAATTCCAACTATCACGTTTGGCTGTACAGATGGTCCTACGGGCCATCGCACTTGCCTACCGAAATAAAATAAAAGAAGCAGTCGTTTGCCGGCGTCTGTGTTTCTTCCAGGCTGCACATTTACAGCAGACAGCCTGATGCAATCTGCATTCCACCAGGGAACGCACTTCCGCATGCCCCGGGAGGTAATGCGAGTAATAGAGCGAAGGGCAGCACCGAATATGGTGTCATGAAAAAGGAGGGGGGCTCGAGGGAGAGGTAGAGTGGGGAGGTCAGAGAAAGTAGCATGTAGGGTCAATAGGTTCTAGTCAGCCTTGGCAAACTGCCACCTAGGCAAGGACAAAAAGAGAAAAGGGGCATCAAGGATGGAGAAATGATCACTGTTATGGAGGTCATCAAGAACCTGCCAAGTGAAATCTAAGTAAAGAGAAAATGAGCAGAGAGAAAGATTAAGACAGGAGGGAGTGCGAGTGCAGGAAGCCACAGGAGTGGGTTCACCATAATTTAGCAGAGATAGAAGAAGAGAGGACCAACGGGTCAAAAAAGGCGGCCCCGGGTGTTTGTCAAAAGATCAGCCCAGAGGATATGCCAACAGTTGAAATCACCCAACAAGAGCACAGACTCTGGTAAGAAGTCCAATAGGTGCTTAAGATCAGGAAGAGAAAGCGGGACATTTGGGGGAAGATAAATGGAACAGACCGTATACCATTTATTCACAAAGACATGGTTGTAGAACATTAGAGAGGCGACTGAAAAAGTAGGAGGACAAAGGGAATATCATTACAAATCAAGAGAGCAGTAGAATTACGGCCCCCCAGTAGAAGCTGGGGGGGGGAGTCTGGAATAACAACGAAAGTGGCAAGGACAAGCACCAAGCATCGGCTCCTTGAGACAAACACAAAGTGGTGAAAACTGTGTAATCAGAAGTTGGAGTTCATTGAAGTTGCCATAAAATCAACGAATATTCCATTGAAGAATAGACATTGTCAAAAGGAGAGAGAACAGCAACAGAGAACAATGAAGAAACAAAGGCAAAGAAGAACACAGTATACTAAAGATGATCAGGACCAGGATCAGTAAAATCAGGGTTAGGGGGCATGGGTAAATCGAGCAATGACGATGAAGTTAAGGGAGTGGGAGGACGGACCAGAGGCGGGCGGACAGGGTTCGGAGCAGGGAAGCCAATGGAGAGGGGTGGTCAAGGGAAGCAGAGAAGGGGGGGTAGAACCAGGGGGAGCGCACCTCAGCAAGGGCAGCAACCGAGAGCTCGAGAATCGGGGGCTAGAGGAACTTCCAAAGCCAGGACAGGGGGCTCGACTACCGAAATGGGAGGGAATGCAGTTATAGAGTCTGAGTCAGAGGGTGGGGAAGAAAGCAATGCCTTCTTACCAGCTGGGAAGAAGGGAGAGGAGAGGAGCCAGGCTTACGTTTCTGACTTAAAAGGACAGATCTACCAGCAGCAACACATACTGGGCGAGAGTCTCAACAGAAGAACGGGAGCGATAAACATGAAGGGGCCTGGCAGCTGAGAGGACAGCACTCGATATTCTTAGTTCTGATGTTCTGGGTTCGATCCCCTGTGGAGGCGGAAACAAATGGGCAGAGTTTCTTTCACCCTGATGCCCCTGTTACCTAGCAGTAAATAGGTACCTGGGAGTTAGACAGCTGCTACGGGCTGCTTCCTGGGGGTGTGTAACAAAAAGGAGGCCTGGTCAAGGACCAGCCCGTGGGGACACTAAGCCCCGAAATTATCTCAAGATAACCTCAATAAGATTGCTGGGAGGATGATGGCCAACAGCCTGGACAGACAGGCGGTGTGGAGGGCCAAGAGACAAGGTAGGGGGCTAGGAAGAAGGATCAAGAGGAGACGGGAAAGAAGACAAGAGACAGCAGACTGGGAAGGAGGGAGGGAAACACCAGACGGAGAACCAGGAGGGGGACCCCTTGTTTCAGAACGTAAAGGAGCAGGGAGTAGTCGGCAGGTGAGTCCGGGTCCAAAGAAATGGTTGTTAGATTGAGTAAGGAGGGAAGGGCGAGGAGAGGTAGAACCCAACACTCGAGAATAAGATGTGTTAGCGGAAAAGGAGAGATGGTGGACTTGGCGTCTTGCCTCAGGAAAGGACAAACGATCGCGGTGCTGCAAATTAAGGATGACTTCCTCAAATTTGTAGTGAAACACGCGCGGGAGAAGGTAGGGTGGGCGTGACCACAACTGAGGCAGCGAGCCTGGGGGGAAGATCACTCAGCCTTAAAGTGACCCCGAGTCCCCACACATAGGGCATACACACACCACACTTGTGCATTTGAGGGCACCATACCCAAATTTCCAGCACTTATTGCAAAGTATAGGAGAGGGAATGTACTCCTGAACGGATCATCGGGCACCAGCAAGAATTATTGAAGGCAGAAGGGTTCTACTATCAAAAGTGATTTTCACAACGTGGAGAGGCTGATGACGACGACCACGAGGGGGTCGGGTGAACATACCAACCTGGAGGACAGAATGGCCTTGGGCTTCAAGGACATGTTTAATATCCTCGTGGCAGTCTTTCAGGTCCCTAACACCAGTCGCAACATGGTGCGGGACGATAACAGTGCCAATACTGGCATTTAACTGGGCATTTACTATGAGACCCTAACAGGGGTCTCCCCAATGCTGGACAATGCAGGTAAGTGAGCAGCTGCATCCTGAGGAGCAGCAACAATGACACTTTACCAAAATGGGTGGGGGTTAAAAGTAATAGAGGCATCCACCGAATCAAAGAGGTGTTTATGGAGGGTGAAATCGTCAGGGCGTGTAGAGTTCAGATGGTTGAGATCAAAGTATTTAGTCCATGTAGCAGAACCAAACAAGGTGTTGAACATATTAGCACTTGAAGGAATCGTGTGAGGGCGTCGGTGGAGAAGTCGGCACCAAGCACCCCAGTAAGAAGGGGGGGGGGGGGTTAAAGGTGCAGTTGTCACAATGAGTGAAGTACCTGCTCCAGGTTGAAGAGGTGGTCACCACTGAGGGGCTTGAAGCTCAACCCGACCACAGAGGAGGGAAGGGAGCGGAGGGGCATAATCGGAAGGGGTCAAAAGAGTAGCTTGGTCTGGGCTCAATGTAATGGGGGCTACAGAGCCCAGTCTTCCAACACTGTCCGACTCGGGAGCTTGGTCGTCCGCCCCACGAGCCTAGTTAGTTATAAAAGGATCATTCAGCGGCACAGAAACGAGGGGGGTAATAATTTAATTCATGAATGAGCCCCCCCACACCCACCATGGAGCCACTATTAGAGAATAGGACACCCAACAAGAGAGAGGCTGGGGCCCCCCCCCCTAGGGGTGCATCGTGAGTATACACCCTGCAAACCCCACCTTAAGAACCGTCAGTCCGTCGAGATCGGGTTCAGTAACAATTTACCCAAAATTTGCTTGTCCATTTTAAAGAATGAAGAACAATTTCTACTTATATTCTAAGCTGTATCACTTATGAACCCATCCCTGCCCTTGTGTGGCAGTGCACAATAGAAAGTTGTTTTCACATATCCACACATTAAAACATTGATTGTCACCGTGATATATATGTGCTTCAGCCTACAGTTTAGGCCTATTGTCTTATGTATGACCCTCTGTCCTGCGTGACAGTGAATACTAGCATTAACCTCAATTTAATAAGACTATCAAAATCCTCAGATTAGGCAAAATTGTAATTAATTTTGTCAATAAAGATGTTAATAATAATAATAAGCAACGAAAGGAGGATTTACAATAAAAGCGATCCCTCGCTCGCAACGCTGGGTACCACTTTTCTACGGGTGAGTGCGCGCACCTCCCCAAACACCCAGGCGCCAAAACTGAAAATGTCCTAAAGTCAAGATTGCCAAAAGATCGGCAAGAAAGAATGAGAAAGGAGAGAGGGGGGGGAGGAGGGGGGGGGAGGGGTTGAGGAGGGGAGGGGGAAGGAAAACGAAACTTAAGAGAAAATAGTGAACAGCACAATTAGTGAAGACAGCAGCAGGAGCATAAGGCTTCAAAAGGCCAGAGGACTGTCCCATGGAGCACAGTCCCCAGTAACCACCCACCAAGCTCCCTCACGACGACAATGGGCTGGAAAGGGCAACCCATTCTCGCACTTGCTTATAGTCAATATTGGCTTATTTAATAAGTGCATATGTGACATACTAATTGATTGTGAATATATTAGTTTACCTTGAAAAGCTTCATAGAAAACACCGACCTCACCTAACCTTCTTAGTATGTTAAGATAAGCATCTTATTGCTTCTTATTTACAATTATTACTTAACCTATCAATGGTATAGGTTAAGAAGTAGAAACTTGGAAGAAACGAAATCTTCGTTTTAGCAAGTACTGTAAGAAGATGGATACTTCAGAAGACGGTGCCAGCATAAATAGAGTTAAGTCACAGTCGAGAACAGTCGCAAGTGGACTGTTCCTGGGTTCTTCACCATGAACATAACGACTAACATGTCTCTGTGAAAAGCAACATTAGTAAATTTGTTGATAAACTAGAAATATGGCGGGTAATATATCCCAACCAAGACGCACGCACACTTTACAGGCCCTCAACAGACCCAACATTGGCAGGTGGTGTTCAGTGGTGACAACTGTAGGCTCTCAGCCCGGGGGAAAACGACTGGTGCCAGATACATCTACACAAGAGAGAGTTTACGAAATCAAAAGACAATAATCCGAGTAATATTTATTGGGACCCAAAAACCAAGCAATTAATGTATAAATGTGAGAAATAAGGATACTTGGAGGAATATTTTGTGGCGGTAATAATAGAAGCTGCAATGTTAGAAATTACACACAAGGCATTCCAAGCGTCCCTCATGAAGATTGACTAAAAGAAGACGTCCATTCAGTGGGACGGGGCAGAGCAGTGGGGTGATGTCTGCACTCTTCACATGGACGAAAGTGTTTTACAAGACGTAACTGAACAGGGCTTAATAAAATGGGTACCACGTCTGGTGCAGTTGTTGGTACCCATAGCCTCCGAGACGAGAAAAATATAAACAAATTTAAAATTTAGGTATTTAAATTTACAAAATAAAGAGATAGTTTTTTAAATTATCAGGGGAAAGAGCTAAGCCATTACGACTTTATAGCACTTGGAAGGGGTCAGGATAAGGATTTGGGATGGGAAAGGGGGAAGGAATGGTGCCCAACCACTTGGACGGTCAGAGATTGAACGCCGACCTGTTTAAATCTAGACCGTCGCTCTACCACCCAGCCCAAATCGTTGGGTCACAAAATACATGGTAAATAGGTAAACATTAGTTAGGAAATAGGGTTGTTGATGAAGCAAGTGTTGTAGGAGAATTATATAGAAACAACCTCGCTGGAAGCTTTCATATATAGGCTGCTCCGCATGGGCAGACTCGTTATTATTTATTTCCTTATGATTATCTGGGGTACTCAGACTGCCTCACAACCTCATTACTCACTGTTCTTCGTCATTCACGCCTGTTGTGCCTCCTCACACTACCCAGCTTCACAGCGTTATTCATGTCTTCCGCCTACACTCCTCACCAGGCCTCCCGCACCCCGCACTGGGTGCCTCAGCTCCGCCCCACCGCCCATGATCATACTTGTCTTACTCTAACGTCTTGACCCATCTACTTCACTTCCTCAGCTCCCACCCTCTCACTCTCCTTGTGACTGTTGGGACGCTTGATCTTATTTTCCTCCTCCCTGTGGTCCCCTTCCTTCCCCTCGCTCCATCCTATTCCTATCCCCGCTCCCGTCATGCCTGTCCTGAAGCAGCCCTCACACTGGTCCCACCTGGAAGAGGAGGTCGCCCGTCAGGTTATGCAGCTTTTGAACCTTCTTGGGCGGAGCCTTCTTGACCTTGCGATGCTCCCGGGGACGACTCTCTCGCCGCTCAACCTCCTCCTCCTCCTCCACGATCTTCAGTTCGTCCTTCAACGTCTCCTTTTCCAAGCCAGAGGGCGCGGCCTCGTCCTTGGCCTGGTGGTGGTCGTGCAGGTCCTCGTGATGGTGGTCGTCCAACACCAGGCTGTCATCAGTCGATGGTGGTATAATAATAATAATAACAATAATAATAATAATAATAATAATAATGTTCATACACATAAAAGTACATACATTCAAACCGAAAGTTGAGTTACAAACCGAGTTACAAACCGAAAGTTGAATGCCTAGATACCCAGAGCTGGCATATGTAAGTGCCTTTTACGTCAATATTTGTACTATGGCGCACACAGTTACACAGAGTACTATCTAAACAGGAGGACGGGTTGACTATTCATACAAACTATACAAATAATTACAAAAGTTCTGTACCGTTTCATTCTTTCAGAACACAGCAACTTTTTGTTGTATTGTTTCATAATACAGCAGCCACAACACATACAACAACCACCACCACCATAACAGTACAACAACCACCACCACAACAGTACAACAGCCACCACCATAACAGTACAACAACCACCACCATAACAATACAACAACCACCACCATAACTGTGGGAAATTTTTACCCACCATATCTAATAATCATCTAAGAAATGTATAATTTCTATATCATATCTAAATCATATCAAAATCATATCTAAATCGTATCAAAGATTCATTATAGCTTGATCCTGGATGACAATGGCACCATGAACACGTACGCAACAGGGGCCCTTTTGATGCCTACGTGACTTTGTACATGATCTCTCAAGGATCCAGAAGCTTCTAGAAGGACTTCTTAATTAAAAAACTATTGGAACATTGATTCAACATCCGGTAGGATTAAAAATCGAATCCTTAATAAGATTCAGTGGTACTTTCAAATACTACTTATAATCTTTAAATCTTATATCTAATTATATTATAATCACATCTTATCTTAATCATAAGTCTAGACTGTAAAAATAATCAATCAATATTCATTGCAAGCTACCTCTCAAGGGAGAGGGGGAAGGCTCTCGGGGGGCGAGAAGCGCCCACGACGATGCCTCGAGGCACTCCGCGTTTGTTTACAAATGAGTGAACAAGTGACTGATCCTTAGCGAACATTACCAGCTCAAGGACACCTTATCTAACATTTTTATCGCCAGTGAACACTCTCTAGAACTGGGGGAGTACCTGGACAATATCTACAAGGAAAATCCTAGAACATTTATAAAATAGAGTGTATAGTGGAGATCAGTGACACGGTTTCCTCCACCTTCATTCATAAACTTTTATCTCGAATCATTCTTCTGCAACTGCAGGATAATCACGTAGCAACGCTACCAGATCATCATACAGCAACGCTGTGACAAAATATCGTGCCTAAACTCAACAAGAGAGAGTTAATCAGTCTGGCAAACTTGTCAGACAGGCACCCCGACTGGCAGAGAAGTATATTGAAGGTTATTTGGTATATGATTGGCCAATTGTATGCTTGTGTAGCTTTAATATCCTATAAATCTGTCTGTTGGTTAAAAAGCGAGGCTAAGCCTCACATATCAGTAAGTTTATTAAAATTGTAGTGTAGCTGTGAATCTTATCCAAGCACTGAACCTCATGAGTGTCCATTCTGTCAGAAAAGAATTCAGCCTCAATAAGTAAAAACCTCACAAGTGTCCACAGTCTTGGAAGAGATTCAGTCAAGCTAACTGTATAAAGTGAATATGTCTGCATATATATTTGAATATATAAATTAAGTTATCAATTGCTTGCTTAGTTATTTTTAAGTTATCATATAAGTTCATTTAATTGAATATAATTTCTAGTACTAAGTTAATAGTATTAAGACTACATTTAAGGTCATTTATTTATACTTTTACAATTTAATTTGTTGTTTATAGTATAAGAACATATTGGCTGTTAAGTTATGGTACTAGGTTAGACTATGTATGTTTAAATCTCTGATTTAAACAGAGCCAGTGTTCAGTCAGATAACTGAATTTATCAAATCTTATCCTTGTATAAAATACAAGCTGATGTGAGATCCCTGTCTACAGGTGGATTGGAACTTCTATCAACATAGTCATTCACCCCACCTGTCCCTTACAGCCCACAGTTTGTCATTAGGAAAAGAGGATCTAGGATTTACAACCCTAGCTAGAGATTTTAATTGAATTAATTTGCAGACAGTAATTTTTAATTTAGTTCAGTACAAGTCCCTGGTAGTCTCCTCTTATATCAATCCCAGCAGGTTTTTCCCACATTAATGGTCCTTCGAACCTAGATAATAATGGTCCTTTGTACCTAGATATTTATGATCATTCGTTTACCGAATATTTCAGTGCCAAATACATAAGAAACTTCTTGATTTTGCATTGGAATAATTCTTACATATTCTAGCCTAACCTAGCTATCAGCCAATATTTATCATAGCTATATATCTTAAATAAACAAATAGTTTGCAGTGGCTTAAGCCACCATATCCATTAACTAGTAAGCATTCATAGCATACTGATACTGTTTTGTGTTAAGAAACCACAGTACTTAATTATATCAGTGTCACAAACACAACTGCATCTTAATCATAAAATACCATTATCTACCTCACTTGTGGTAACATTACATATATATTTAAGTGTATTATCTAGCATTATCTCTAATCTACTGATTTTCAGAGCTGCTCATTACATAATATTCTTTAAAAAAGTGTTATCATCACTGTAAGAGCATTTCATTACAATCTAACTATAATCAACTATATCATACCCTATTCCAGGTAAAACCAGTAGACATTCTACTGTATTTTATCTAACAATTATTATGGTAACAGATTTTGTAATAACTTTGCAAAAATAGTGCCATTTACTATTTTTAAAAAATTATTACAAGATTTACCAACTTGGTGCATTCGTGCATTCGGGTCACAAATCAAATTATTACAGTACTTTTGATAATTGAACACCTGCTACAACCAGATTCCAGGGAGGAAATGAAGGACGATCTTTGGAATCATTACCTAAGTAGACAGGAAAGCTCATTTATCAAAATACATTAACATCATACATATTTATCAGAAAAAAGAGAAAAATCTCGGAATCTCCGAAACTCGGAAAAGGTCAAAATGACTAACAGTATTCCACCAGCAGCTGAAACAGAAAAGAAAAGGACACAAAGTGTCTAAAAAAATCACTTGAATCTACAGCCTACAGACCATTTAAATCAGGTGATAGACAAATGTCATCATCACTTGGCTACAATAGTCTACAATTGGGGATTAAGACCAATCTTAATCTCACATCACAATCTGAAAGGCTAACAACACATTGACAATGTCAATACAAATATTATCATCCATCTAAGATAACTATCTTAATCCAAGAATATAGTCTTGATCACCTAATCTCATGCTTTCACTGGAGTGAAAGCAGCCTCAGAAAATCTGAAATTAATCAAGCATCTCAAAGAGACTTACTTAATAGAAAAGGCAAAGCCGAGAAAAAAAAAGAAAAAGCAAAATGCTTCATCACATCATGAATAATGTAGATACACATTATTACAGATACAATTCATCCTTTAAGGAAATCCTTGGAGGAGTACAAGTGTTACATGCTTGTATGACCTACTTGCATGTAATTACTTACCTACAAGTTTTACATACTTGTAACAACATCTTATCACAAAGCCAAATCTTTGATGGACTTCGAGCTTACGTACAAAGATTACGAAGCCGAGGAAAACTTAGATCTCAAGAAAAAATCCCCAAAGGTGAATCCACGGACAAAAGCAAAAATGTCCAGAATGGCAGTCAAAAATCAAGGCAACAAAACTCCTCTTCTGCAAAGTGGAAACAGAATAATGTTGGCTCTTATGCTATATCCCCCACAGTTAACAGAACTGTAGGAAACCAAGCTCCTAAGACAGATAAGACAAAAGGAGCTACAAGTGCCCCAAAATGTTTATTCTGTCAAGAAGCACATACCATTTATCAATGCACAGTTTATGTAGGCCGTGCCAGTCGAATCGATCGACTGAAATCTCTGAACAGGTGCATCCGTTGTCTACGGAAGCACGATACAAGTGAGTGTATCACTCAATTGCAGAACTGCCAATATTGTCATAAAAGTGTACATCACACAGCACTCTGTAGTGATATTAACACTCAATCCAGATCACAGACTTCCAATAATCAACCTGCATCTCAGGCAAAGCCCAAAGATGATAATACCACAACAGCCGTACAATTCTGTACAGTAATGAGCAATGTCAACGACTTGGATACAGAAATTGTTACAGCAGCCATATTGCCTACTGCACAGCTAGAACTATGCAATCAAGGAATTTGTATTCCAACTAGAGGCTTTTTTGATCAAGGGTCACAGAAAACCTTTATCAGTAAAAAGATGGCAGAAGATTTACAACTTAAATCTTCAAAGCAAGTATCTACATCCATATCAGGGTTTTTTACTAATTCTGGTCGTAGAACCTTTCCAGTAGTAAAACTCAATGTCTGTCTAGGTACATCCCAAAGGACAGTAGAAGCCATAGTAGTTGATAAAATTCCTACTGAAATGGAAGTGACTGGTCTGACAGCCACAATTAAATTCCTAAAAGAAAAAGGAATCCAATTAGCAGATCCTCTACTTGATTCTGACTACATAGGGGATATCGGAATCCTGATTGGAGCTGACTACTATCATCGATTCATTCTGGGATCAGAAGAATCTATGGGTATGAATATACTCAAATCAGCAGGAGGCATATTGATGACAGGACCTATACTAGATCTTGAACCTTCAACTCCTGAAAAATCACATCATACAGAAACTGTAATAGTGGCATGACTAGGCAAAGAACAGTCACCACTTAAAATCCCCCACATGATTGATGATGGATTAGAATCTGTACCTCAATTGTGGGAACTTGATGCCATAGGAATAATTCCTGAACAACCAAGTCCTGATGATGTCTGTGCATACAATCAATACTTAGAAACTGTACAGTACTATGATGGACAGTACTGGGTAAGGCTACCATGGAAAATCAACCATAAAACCTTACCTACCAATTATCACATGGCTTATAGTCAATTTAAATCTCAACTAGCAAAGCTAAGAAA